CTTGGTTTCAAGGGCTACGAGCATGTCGTGTTTCCATTGCGGAAAATTGTTATCAGAAAGCAAAGGTGTTACAAGAATCGGAAAATTGTTATCGGAAAGCAAAGGTGTTACAAGAATTAAAGCTGGATTTTCTCCGGGATGAAGAAACAAAGGATTCGCCGGATTGACGAGGTGATCGGAAAGTGCGGGTTGAATTGAATTTTCCATTATTGATCAGAAAAGAGAACAATGGATGAAAAGAAAAGCTGATCGGAACAGAGAACAATGCGGAAGCGAAGAATAGTCACACGATGATACCATGATAGCGGGTAAAGTGCTCAATAATTTCTCTCATGTAACAATCAACCCTTTACAGAGAGCAGGATTATTGTTATATATACAAGTATAAGTGGCCAAAGAAAAGATAAGCTAACTAACCATGGTTAGGCCTATCTAATGTAAAACTAAGTAAGACAAATACAGGTACAGAGGAAAAAATAGAAAAGAAAAAAACTAATGAGAGAAGCCTTATTAATCCTAATAAAACCACTATTTTTAATGTAACAAGCAATTGATCACAATACACATATTTAGTTAAAGATAAATTCTTTTATGCAAATGCCATGACAAATGTTAATGCAAGAATTTAAAAGAGCAAGAGAGATAAAATAACACAAAAAAATTATACTGATTTACTCTCAATATTAGATAGTTTCATCCAGTCGCAACAAACTACTGAGATTTCTCATTGTAACTGTGAAATTTATTTAGAATTAAACAACACTAAACTGACATAAAAAAGTTATTCCAAATGCTATAAAAATTTCTTTACAATTCATTGATTTCATTCAATGAAAATCATGTTCACTTGAGTGAGCAACCCTTATGACTTATGAGTAACTCTATTTCAAAAGATTACAACCCGTCTGATTCAGAGCAACCCGTTTGATATACATTTTTTTTACAATTATAATTTGATAATTTTAAAATAAAAATTAATATCAACTTAATGTCTTAAACTTTAATTTATTTTTATAAATATTAGTTAATTCTACTAATTTTAAAAAATAATTTTTCCTCTCTTTCCTTCCTAAATTATATTCTCAAACATATCCTTCTATTACGCATCTTATGATTATTGATGTTTCGTTTTGATAAAGAAACATTTTTCTCATAAAAGTTAGTAACTATATATGAATGCAATAAATTGATGCTACAAGGGTTGGTGGATGATGGTGAACTAGTCACATTTCTTAAAGAAAATAAAAAAATTAAAACACTGAACAAGGGTATTTAGCAATTATTAAGCACATTTTTGGTTCGGATTATTTTTTAAAGAAACATTTTTTTTCCTTAAAATTATTTATAATTTTGTCTAAGAAATAAGACTTTTTGGCCATAATAAATAAAAATAAAATAAAAATTACTATAAAATAAATTAAATAAAAAATAATTTATCAAAATAAATTATTTTGGTCACTTAGATGATTATGTGTAAAAGAAAAACGTCAGGAGAGTTGACGTTTTACGGGTTGACAAAATTTACATAGAAGTCGTTATAGGAGTTGACGTCTTCTATATAAAAAATTTTACATGTAAAACGTCACACCCTCTAACGTGTTCCATGCATACTTTGCCTTGTTACTTCCTTCTCTTTAAATTTGGGCGGATGGAGTTGAAAAATAAGAGATAAAACTAATACTTATTTAAACATTTACAGCTTGAGAAGTACTTAATAAATACAAAATCTAATAATAAAATCTTATTATAAACACAATATTGTTCTTAATAAGAAAAGTCAATATAAACACCTGTATTGGAACTACCTAAATACTAGTTAATCTGATATAGCTTTTCACAACAATATTAAGAAACAGTTTTAATTTATTAGTGGTCTCCCTATATAATTTTTTACGAGAACAGTATGTTATTATAACTTCTTTTAATTTTTTGAAAAAAAATATTAATACAACTTTATATCGTCTATTTATTTATATAATTATATTTATATATTTGCATATCTATCTTTATTTTTATATATAGGGATGTTTATTTTGGCTTATAAATTTTTATATTTATGAGAATAGTATTCCCATGAATATAATAACAGGAATGACATTATTGAATATTTAAAATGGTGACGTTTTGTGTAAAAATAATTTGTTAAATTTTTTTACTTTCATTTTGAATACTCCCACTACTGGCTGAAACGAGTCGAGTATAAAATATATTTGAGAATAAAATAACTTTTACATTTCTATATTTTTATTTTTAAAATTAGAGGTGAGTATGCAAATTTTCGTGATGTGTCTAAAATTATAATTTTTGTATTCATTTCACGTATACTTGATTCCTGCATTTTGACATGCATGAAACATGTTAAAAGGTGTGATGTTTTGTATGTAAAATTTTTTATATAGAAGAGGTCAACTCTCATGACGACTTTTATGTAAATTTTGCTAATTCATAAAACGTCAACCTTTTTAATATTTTTTTTTATTCATTTACGTGGTCGTGGTCAAAATAATTTATTTTGGTAAATTATTTTTATTTAATTTGTTTTCGTAATCTTTATTTTATATTTATTTATTACGGCCAAAAGGCCAAGAAATAAGGGTCAAATGTAAAAATGGTCAATCCGGGCCTTGGGCTTCAATTAGGCCCAACTAAGGAAAGGCACCGATCCATTAGGGTTTTACACTTATAATCCGATGTTGGTTTACACTTAGCAGTGCAACAACAATCGGCGGTGGCAATCGAAATCGGTGAAAATGGTTGCGATGAGGGTGAGTAATGTCAAGGTTAACGTGTTATGTGTTTGATTTAATTTGGAGGATGAGTTTGTTGATTTTAACGTTGTTGTGATTATGGTTGAAGCAGTTTCACCAGTACCAGGTGGTGGGAAGGGCTCTTCCTACCTTAACCGATGAACATCCCAAGATCTACCGCATGAAACTATGGGCCACCAACGAGGTCCGTGCCAAATCCAAGTTCTGGTATGTTTATCTCTATTTCAAATGTTGTTTATTCGTATTCGTACCAATTCAATTAAGAAATTTGCAATGTTTTATGTTTCTGAAAACGATAGCCATTGATCACATTGTTGTTGTTTTTACTTTTTTCAGGTATTTCTTGAGAAAGTTAAAGAAGGTCAAGAAAAGCAACGGGCAAGTGCTAGCCATCAATGAGGTGTGCACTTCTCAATTGTCATAGTGTATCAATTATTTCACAAAAATGAATTTCTTTGAGCGTTAGTTACTTGTTAAAAGGATTGCAATGGAACTAGATTTCTACTTTGAAGAATTCTGCATATTCTACTAAGTGCTTTTTTGTTTAGAGGGGGAACATGATTTGATTAGGTTATATAGAACATTAGAATCTAGAAATGTAGGGGGTAGAGGGATAGGATCGCATTGCAGTCTTTATAGGACAATGGACATGGAGGTATAATATTTTGTTCTGATTGCAGATTTTTGAGAAAAATCCTACTAAGATTAAGAACTACGGAATTTGGCTGCGTTATCAGAGTCGTACTGGTTATCACAATATGTACAAGGAATACCGAGATACTACTCTAAATGGTGCTATTGAATATTTGTACAATGAAATGGCATCTCGTCATAGGGTGAGGCAGCCATGCATTCAGATAATTAAGACTGCCACAATCCCAGCTAAGCTGTGCAAAAGGGAGAGCACCAAGCAGTTCCACAATTCTAAAATCAAGTTCCCATTGGTGTTCAAGAAGATTAGGCCCCCAACTAGGAAGCTGAAGACAACATACAAGGCTTCTAGGCCAAACCTGTTTAAGTGATTCAGTTGATGGGACTTCCATGATTCTCATTTTGGAGCCGTTGATTCATTAGTAGTATACATAGGAAGAGTGTAGAGAAGGTGATCGTGTAGGTGGCAAACATCATTACCGCAGCCACAGTTTGCATTCTTTCATGCTCTCAAGATTTTGTTTTTGGAAGATGGTGATTATTTAGTTTTATCTTTTTGCAGAGTCTTCTATTTTACTCATTCTGGTGTATTTGTTCCAAGGTTGTTTTTGAATTTAGTGGTTACTTTTTTGTTTCGATTCTGGGTTTATCATTTGTTATTTGATATTTTCTCTCTGATATCTGGTAATAAGTATTTTCTGACATGCATGGCCAATAAAGGACAAGGCTTACGTGTAGAGTCGCGAGAGTTTTTTTTTTTCCTATTCAAATTAGGTTGAGTTAATCATCTATACACTATTAGTATAAAGTTTTTTATACTGGCAACCAATCATATTTTTTAAAGTTACTTATTTTATTATTATTTCATCAAATAAGCAACTGACATGACACTATTAAAAGATATGATTGATTGTCAGTGTAAAAAAAAATTATACTGACAGTGTATAGGTGATTAACTCAATTAGTTTTATCTATAAAAAAACATCTATATTCATTTCTATTGCAGACCGTAATTGCATATGTTATTGAAGTAAAACTGAAGAATATCATAAAAAATACCTAAAAATGCACCTTAGTTTTGTTTGCGAGTAAACTTGATTCCTCGAAAGAAAAATGAAGAGGGCATTGTTGTTACTTATTCATTAATTGCTGCTTTGTTATTTATTGGAGTAGGGTGTCATTACCGTACTATTCTTGAGTAGCTTATTAGGCGATAAATGAGATAATGAAAGGTTAACATTAAGTAAAACAATTAAAATAAATTATTAACATTATATTTTAATAAAATAGTATAGTTTTTGTTAATTCGAATGACAAACATCATTTCTTATAAGTAATGAAAACTGTAGACTCGAATAGAAGGCCAACTTTTATAAATCTGTAATTTTCATCCGTTAATACATCTTTCAGGCATAATCATGGTTCTAGTTTTTCTATAAATACACATTTTATTTATTTATTTATTTTTATTTTCTTTGAAATAATTCCTGTAATATGCTTCCATTTAGTACTGATGTGATTTATATAGGTTACATCATGTCAGGTAAGATTATACTTCAACATCAATATTGTCACGCTAGAGATCAATATTATGAACGAGGATCATTCAATAAGAAATGTGACTTACACAATTGTGTTTTTCAATAAATTTTATGTAATATTAGTGTGTTCATGGGAGTATTGCTAGTGTCTTCGTAGCATTCCTCCATGAACTAAACATGTTTATTAATGCTTTGCAGGATTTTTACTGTTGCAGTAACACAAATTTATATTTACTACAAAAGATAATAAATTGAAGATGGCTGTAATAGTAATAATTAATAAACCAATAATAAGCAAGGGTGAATGGCTAACATGAGTTCAAGTGCTTATGGAAGACATTTTGTTTAACAATCTTATTAGTACTATTTGCAGACTTCATGTTCCAGAAGACATTAACCTACGTTGCACAGATCAGCCTTAGGCAATTGCTCATTCTCTACTTATTATATTCTCAGTGCATGCGCGGATATAATTTTAACTTGGAATGGTAAATAGGTCAAAACGCATTTATTTATTTATTTATTATTTTTGGTGAAACATAGGTTAATGCGTATTGTGACTGTCAGCCGTGCTTTCCATATCCTATCATCATTTTTGTGACCTACCATTGTCACGCAGATACAAGCATGAAATAAAAATATAGGAGAAAAAATTCTGAAAAACTTATAATTGCAGGTCTGGTAATAATTAGAGGGACACTGTCGAAGATTTGGCTAAATTTTTTTAAACAATGAGAAATATTTAGAGTAATCACAAAGAAAGGGTTATTATACAGTTTCCTTGAGATGGATTGATCGTTTAAGATTATTGAAAAATATTAACCTCGAAGCTGCACGAAAGGAATATGATTTATATAATTGTATGAGCCAGAATGCTATTTCTAAAACTAATTTTTTTTTAAGAAAGGAGATAAGCTTGGTAGAATTTGATTTAATTCACATACTTTCAATGTTCTGTTCAAGCATGTTAAAATAATGTGTTGAGCAGTGGGAAACAGAAGATAGTGTTTACCAGGGAAGACTACCCTCCGTGACCCACTTTGTCTTTCAGAACCCTCCATTGAAATCTGACATGCTTTTTTCTTTTTTCTGAAACTCCACATTCTCCACCATAATCTCAAAAGCTTGTGAAAGTTAACTCCACAACCAAAAGTTTTAAATCTCATTTCATTATATATCCCCACACCCCACTTTCATAACCATCATTTTTCATGCAACACATATTCAAAGAGTCACTTTATTGTGAAATATATACTTAAGAAGGTTAAAACTCTATCTATTTTCGGCGTATTGATGAGTTCTCTCTCGGTTCAAGTTGGTAGCATTCTTTACAAATTTGGACTCAACCGTCTAGTTGTGCTATCTGAGAAGAAAAGTAAGTGTGTTATGAATCCTCAAACAAACATATACATATAGTCGCTTTGGTCAGCTTGAAGAGAAGCACAACACATTTCAGATGTCATAGTTTTTCTGCCTTCAATTTTTCTTCACTAGCATTGGACATTAAGTTGGTCATCATTATATTTTCAACAAAAGAAGGAAGAATGGGAATTCAGCAAAAGCTCAATGCTTTCCTCTTTCAAGTAAGCATTGTTTTTCTCATCTTTCTCCTTGTTAGTGCATCTCATGAGCACAAGAAAGCTAAAGGCAGGCATTCAAGCAAAAAAGATCATCACATCAAGGTATTCCATTCCTGCAGTGTGTATTCTTCCTATTTTGGATCAATCAACTTGGTGACATCATTTTGTTTATTCTTACCCTTGTCTACATTGCTATTATAATCCTCTATTTCATAAATATAAAGTTTTGTTTTGTGGTTGTTTTATGTATGAAGATGAGTTCTAGACTTCAGTTCGAAATCACATTACATGGGTTTCTCTTGTGGGCTTCAATGGCGTTCTTGATGCCTGTTGGCATACTAGTCATTAGACTGTCCAACAGAGAGGGGAATCGAAGAAGGCTTAGAATTATATTCTATGCTCATGCAGTTTTGCAGGTAAGTGTATCTAAACCTAAAACCCCTGTTACATTACAATTATAATTTTAAATCCAAGATCACTAACTTTTTGTATATTTTATTAGTTTCTTTTCTCTTTACTTGGTAACCCATACTTGTAGAGGAAAAGAACAATTAATTTTATGGTTTCACTTTAGTTTGAGAGGGTCAGTTGCCCCACTGATTAACTTCTAATGATGGTTGAATGGAGATAAGAATAGCAAGAATCCAGTTTCACAGTTAATTTATTAGTCCTGAAACTTGTTAGTCACTACATAAGGTCAAGTGAGGGGTATTGCATCTTTTTTTATTGAAAAAAACTATAATGAATGCTTTGAAGAAAAGAAAGGAGCTTTATGATAGTCTTCTTGGTGATTACAAGTTGTCTTATATTTTATTAGAGCATGTGAACAGAACTATGCAATTATGCTGTTGGCTGTAACATTAACTAAGTTTTTGCTAAAAAAAAGCAGGAAGTGAATATATCTCTACTATTAACAATAATAAATAGGTTTTAATGAAAGCTTTCCTGAATTGAACTTTGCCATTTATTAATTATATGCACCTTTTTGTTTTTTTGTTTTTTTGTTCAACAGAAGCTTGCCGTACTTCTTGCCACTGCCGGAGCAATCATGTCCATAAAAAATTTCAACAACTCCTTCGACAATAATCATCAAAGATTAGGAGTGGCATTATATGGTATTATCTGGCTGCAAGTTCTAGTTGGTATCTTTCGACCACAAAGGTGAATAATGAATTGCCTTGTATTAAGAAAATATATGCAATCTGTTGGATTAGGCAATTTTGCAATGGCTAAAATACCAAACTTAGACAATGCAGTCACAATTTTCTTGTATTTTAAATTTATTTAAAGATTTTGCATGTTCTATGTTCATGTGTTCAAGAGAGACAGCTTATTTAACTGTTACAATTTTCTTTAAAGATTTAGTATACAATTATTTTCTTGTTCTTCACAGGGGATCCAAAAGAAGAAGTCTATGGTTCTTTGCACACTGGGTAATGGGAACTTCAGTGTCATTACTGGGTGTCTTGAATGTATTTATTGGTTTACAATCCTACCAAGAAAAAACATCAAAGAGCATAAGAACTTGGAGTATACTTTTCACTGTTCAGATATCTTTGATTGTTATCTTCTACCTTCTTCAAGAAAAATGGGTCTACATACGAAACCAAGGAGTGATTTGGGACAACTAAGTACTAACTACTGATTCCTACTTATCAAGAAGCCAAGTCATGCTAAGAAAGATGAATCAATGCCTTTCCATGGATACAGGTATTTGAAACACATAAGAGCACTGATGGATGTGAATTTCTTTCCAGAGATAAAATGTTTGCTGTTGTTGTTGTTTCTTTTTTTTTTTTTCAGAGAAGGCACAGTCATTGAGAAGAAGTTTGTCATTTCTTCCTGTGAGATACTTTTTTTTTGTTGTAATCTCCTAACAATCAATTCTGATATTTTTTCCAAACCAAGTATCCATCATGTTTTTCCCAATGTTTGCGGACATCGTTTGCCAGTGTTTATAAGCATTTCAAAATATAAAGAATTTGCTAACCAAAAGAAAAGACAGACTCTCTAGCACTAAAACAGGAGAAACATAATAATAAGCTAAGAAATTCTATTAATATTACATTGATACATCAGTAAGTATTGTTATTTATATCATATTTCAAGGAAAAAGCTGTACATAGCCAGTTAATATAGCTATTCCTAGTATTATAAAAGGTGGAAGAATCACAAATGCTCCTATGGTTGCAAAGAAAACTGAATCATTCCTCTGAGACACTTCATTTAGGTAAGCTTGTCTCCTGATATTTCTCTTCTGTGAAATGGTCAAGAACTTTGCACTCACTTTCTTCAAGTTTTTACCTAGGGGTATGCTGAAATCATCATCCCTTTCCCCAACCAACTGCGCAAGCTGCTCTCGGATTGTAAGTTTGGGAGAGCTACCATCACTTTCATAACCTATAAAGTATAAACCAGAAATGTTCCAAAAATCTTTGTTATCCTTTTCCAAAATTTAATGAAAGAAGAGGAACCGAACAACAGAAAGACATTGTAAACAGAAATGACTACAAAATTTCTGTCCGTTTAACAAAATCATTGAGACAAACATGGATTTCAGGAGTGATTCATAACATAGAGATGAAAGGCATGGAAGAATTTCAAAAGTTGGACAATATGGGGGAGAAATAGACATATTATCATACCAAATATAAGGTTTTTACTCTTCTAAAGTGAGAAAATACGTTGATGGAGAAAGTAAGGGTGCATTCATAATTGATTTGAATCAAAATAACTAGTAATCTTAGGCCACTTTAAATTAAGGATAAAATACACCCTTAATTTCTCATTTTACACATTTTCTCACCTTAGAGTAGCCAAATTTTCACTCTTCAAACGTTCATGCTAACAATATTCCTCCTATACAACTACTTCTGCTAACATTATCTTGAACGAACAAATCATTTAACAACCCCACAAATTTTACGATGAACTTGTATACTATGCGGTAACAAGGGGAAGGATAAGGTAACATCAAAAGCAAGCCCTTTTATAGTTTAATTGATATTTTAATGATGTGGCAGCAACATAATCGCGTAGTAACTTGTGATTTCAAGGTACCACTCGAGTTAACAACAAAACAGAGAAGGGGCTTTTAACAGGAATAAAATGGCATTACAAAAACAGAAGACAACTAATTTGTCTCCCCTACACATATCATTGATTCAAAGAGAAGGAGAAATTAGTTTACATACCACTATTAGGTGAGCTTGTGGATGTAAGTTGCTCCAAAAGATCCAGCTGTGCACGAGAAGAAGATAAAGATCCTAACAACAGAAGTCAGACATGAAGGAGAATATCATATTGTAACATTTAGAAGTATTTTCTAGAAAATTAAACTGGTAAGATAAAAAATGAACTATTTTCTAGAAAATTAAACTGGTAAGATAAAAAATGAACTATGGTTGAGAAATTAAACACATAACTTCCCTGCAAATATTTCAAATATAACAGAAGTTCTGATTCATTTTTTTCCCTTGCAGCCACGTGGGTGCAAACATTATAAAATAATATAACTAACATAATTTCTCACTTTTCTGAATATTTGTGGAGGGCCAATCATCCAAGAAAGTAGAAATTATATTATTTTATTATGCATAAAAACAACTAACCTGAAAATTCATGGTTATCCTTTGAAGCTCATATATATTGAATTGAATAAAGAAATAAAAAGTGGGTAGGCATATATACTATACCAGCAGAAGCATCTTCCTGTGTAACTCCAGTGTCTTGTGTTTGAGCACATGTTGGATGGTAGAATTTGATGGGATTGTTGTTGTTGTTGTGTTGTTTGTGAGTCAGAAAGGAAGGCTTTGAGTGAAGAGAAGCAGTGGTGAGATTGATGGCCATATAGTTTTGCTTCAAAGGTTTGGAGTTAGTAGTCGCTAATGCCATACATTTTGGTTTCAGCTTTGCATTTTCAGTTTATTCTATGTTAATTGGCCAAAGTCGGCACCTCTCTGCCACAAATATTATCTGTGGAGAGGAGAATTCTAGTGCTATGTAGGACCATCAAAACGCCACCGTTAAAAACAATCTTTTCTTTCAACTAAATAAAGGCTCTGTGTCAAGTTACAAAAATCATTGACTTACGGAATTATTATTATTTAGTCACTTGTGTTTATTTTATATCAGAATAGACTATTGTCACTTTGTGTAAATTTATAATTTTTTTATTATCTCACATCATTTACAATTGGTTAAAAAAAAAAACAGAATAGATTGAATGGACCCGTTTGGATATTGAAATTCAACCCGGCCCAACTTAATTCATTTTGGCATGTAAAATAAATTAATTCGTTAAACTATTTTGATATTTCTAAAGCTGATATTTATAAAATGATTTTATATCAGTTGATGTATATTTAAAATAGGTTTTAGTAAAGTTAATAATTAACTGAATTTAATAGTATTTAGTTAGCAATATACTAAGCATAATCTTGAACATTGATTTATTTTATAAAGTCAATTAACTACTTCTTAAATGAACCACTTATAAAAATAGATTTGAAAGAATAGAATGCCAATGTTTGTTTTGAATGAAGAGAATAAGTTCGTATTCGAATGAAATAAAGTAGCGGCAGCAGCAGCAGCATCATGTATTCTTTCAATTATTTCCAACCATAAAATAGCGTAATACAGAAAAAAAAAAAAAGAAGATAAAAGGTACGCGTAAAGTGCATTGAAATGAAAAGTGATCGTTGATTGAGCGTGTGGGCACCTTTCCTAAGAAGATGCACATGTTGTGTTTGATGTAATTACGAAGCCAACGACCCTTTTAAGCTTGTTGGGTTGTTTCGTAGTACTACGTTAACAATGGCGAAGCAGGTGGTTCCTCGTGAATCTCACCCATATGCCTTTCATGTCTCTGGTCCTCGCAACTTCACTTCCCTTAATTGGAGGGACCTTATCATTTCCAGTTGGTCAGTACCCATTTCAATTTCTTCTTTCATTCTTGCATTTCATCCCTTTACCAGATGCCAAAATGTTTTTAACTTTTTAAGTTTGCTACATTCGTTGTTGGAGTGTTGAAAGAAAGCAAGCAATGTTGGTAGTGTGCGTGGTTGTGAACTTTACCAAATGGGTTTGCATAGTTTTTGAATTTACCAACTATCATCAAATGGAAACTGATAGCAAAATTACTAACTGGGTTTCACATCTATGAGATGGGTTGTTTCGATTTCCGAGATGTAAATGATACAATCAAGAACTACCTTTTTCTTAATTTCCAAGTTATCGTTTTGGTACTTGTTCATTCAGTATATCTATCTGTTTGTTCGTTGTAATCTTCAACATGATACCCAGTTTCTTAGTTACCTTAATTATTAAGCATTTGGAATAGAATTTTGGGGACTTAAATTTAGTATTGTCGTTATGATTATTTCCTAATGGGATTTGGCTTGGATAAAGATTGAACTAATTTTTTAATTATCATATTATTAGCTTGAAATATTCATTAAATTTAGACAACTTGACTAATTATTTTTTAAGTGAATTCTCCCTCATCTATATATATATTTTTTTTCATCCAAACTTAGTATTATCATTATGATTATTTTCTACAGCGATCACTTGGCGTTATGAATTAGCTTAATTTGCTGTACCTCGGTTTTCTCTAGGCATATTTTTTCAGCTTTCTGATAGAGACTTCAAAAATAATAATAATAACTACTTCTCATAAATATTTTATTCCCAAACATGTACACTACGGGATAAAAGAAAGGCGTCTGCAGAGCGATTGTTACACCAAAAAAATTTAGGCGTTAAAGAAAAATTGTTAGATGAAAAATTCTTACTTTTTAAAAATTTAACGTTGAAAATGTTAATTTTTTATATTTGATTTATTATTTAAAAATATAATATTTTTAAAAATATATTGTTTCTGAAATTGGTTTTTACATATGTTTTTTATGGAAATATTTTCATATTCTAAGAAACTATCTTTTCAACATAAAAATAAAATTATAATATGATAAAAATATCATGTTACTTTTATTTGTTTATTTAATACATTAAAAATCTTTAATTCTCAGTATCATTTATAAACATTTTTAGGATTTATGATTTTTATGAATTCATGATTTCTGAGGATTTGATACATATAAAATTTTTACTTTTCTAAGAATCTATCATTAAGAATGTTAATTCTTCATGTTTAGTTTGTTATTTAAAAATAACATTTTTAGAAAATATTGTCTTCTAAGAATGGTTTTTCCATAAGTTTTTCACAAGAAATTTTTTTCCATAAAAGGAGGTGGACAACTAACTATTTTGAGATAAAAAATAAAATTTTAATACAATAAAAATATCATGTTACTTTTATTTGTTTATTTAATGCTGTAAATTTTTTTATTCCCAATTAACATTTTAAAACATTTCTAGAAATATTTATGATTAGTTAAATAAATTTTCAGATTTTTATGATTTGAATGAATCATAATTCTAAACACAATTTTTTGTTGTATATCAAAGATTTCCTCATAGATTTGGATAGTGGAAATGTTTTTAAAATTAAAATGACTTCTACTGTTTGGATTGCCTTAGTGGGTGTTTGGAACGGCCTTCAATCTATGCTATGGATCTTTTATTTTATGAATTTTGTTGTTGGCATGAACTCTAATAAGAGCCCTTTACCCTTCATTTGTCAAATCTAAAGGAAAACACCCTTAGTTTAGTTTCATTCACATTCTTTTACAACATATATGAAAGTTGATAATGCTTTTGTTATACAGGAAGGATGCAAGTTATAAGAGAACTGTCATTGCCTGCTTTATACAGGCAGTATACTTGCTTGAGCTTGATAGACAGGAGAAGAGAACACAGGAAAATGCTCTTGCTCCAAATTGGTGGATTCCCTTCAAGTACAAGCTTAAACAAACACTAATTGATGAAAGAGATGGATCCATTTTTGGTGCAATTCTTGAATGGGACAGATCTGCTGCATTGTCTGACTTAATACCAATGAGACCAAGTGGTGCCCCAAGAGCTATCTTAGCACTCAGAGGAACATTACTCAAAAGCCCTACAATGAGAAGAGATATTGAAGATGACCTCCGTTTTCTCACTTGGGAAAGCTTGAAGGGCTCTGTGAGGTTTAAAGTTGCTTTGGAGGTACTAAAGTCAATTTGTGATAAATATGGAAACAAAAATGTATGCATTGCAGGGCACTCCTTGGGGGCTGGTTTTGCTCTTCAAGTGGGAAAGGAACTAGCAAAAGAAGGTACTTATGTGGAGGCACATTTGTTCAATCCTCCTTCTGTTTCACTAGCCATGAGTCTCAAAACTATTGGAGAAAAGGCTGAGTTTGTGTGGAATAGACTTAAATCCATGCTTCCTTTAAGTAGTGAAGCTCAAATCAGCAATGATGGAAGCAAGACTTCAGGTGTTGGATTGGAGAGTAAGATGGCTCAGTTATCTGGTTCTGGTTTGGGGGTGGCAAAATTCGTTCCTTATTTGTATGTTAACAATGGTGACTATATATGTTGCTCTTACAATGATGGTGGTGGCACAAAGGTAAATGTCGGAAGTACAAATGCACAGGTTGCAGCAAGGTTGTTTGTTGTCTCTAAGGAGAAACAAAAATTTCTTGAGGCTCATGGTCTTGAACAATGGTGGTCAAGTGATGCAGAACTTCAGCAGGTTATCTATAATAGCAAACTCATAAGCAGACAGCTTAGATCTTTATACACTGTTACTCCTTCCCAAGTTAACTCATAAGCAAGTGCTGAAATGTAATCTAAAATAAAACAAACGATATTTCATATTTGTCAAAAGCATCGTGAGAATCGATCAAAATGGTTACGAAATCCTCAAAAAGAGTTTATTTTCTAATTAAGGTGTAAATTTTATATTAATATTTAATACAAATCTCATTAATATATATTTATGTTTATTATTTATGTAAAACTCTAACTTTAATCGAAAACTACATACCACAACTAAGAAAATGTAACTAAAGTTTGTTTCTCATGTAATCAATGAATTCATTTGTACGTGTGGATTTGGGCAAAAATATTTTGTTTTACTACAAAAATGAGATTGTTTCAAAAGTTCAACTACTGAATTTTATGGGATATTGATTGCATCACCATCTAACTTTTTCTGCTTTCTTTGTGCACTTTTCAAGCTAAAATCCTTTAAAAAAGAAATACTTCACTCATCCTTTAGATTTTAATCAAAAAATAAAATTTGCCCCGTTGCCTTTTCAAATATAGGTACCGTTTCATTTTTTTAAGAGTTTAATTAAAATACTATATATCAAATTCTTAATATGACTTTTAAGTTAGTATTTTAAACCTAATAATAACACGTTTAAAATATTCAGTTGGAACTAAAGTTGAACGTCCTCGTTCGATCTAACTAGTGTGAAAGTACATTATTTCGTTTTTAATATAGTTTATTTTGTAATTAAATTATAATTCAAATTATAGAGTGAACAATTTAGAGTAAGTTTGTTTTTAGAAAATATTTTCATTTTATTTTTAGAAAATATTTTTTATTTTTAAATTTTTAAATTTTGAAAATGTGTTTGATTTAATTATTTTCAAAAAAAAATTCATAAAATGTTTATAACATAAAATTTATAAACAAATTTTGAATAATAAAATTTTAATATTATTTAAATTATTTTATTATTTGCATATAATAAATAAATAGATATAAATATAATTAATGTTACATCTTAACTTTTACAAATAAATAATTGTATACAAATAATTTGTATTGAAAAAATATATATTTTTATTTATTGATAAGTTTTTTTTTTTTAAAAAAAATATTAACGTCTAATTCATAAATAATTAAGATAAATAAAAAATTGAATTAGATAAAAAGTTTTAAAAAATCTTTACAAATCCCTTCTTTGAAGAAAAATCCTTAAAAATATTTCCGCACAAGATTAAAAATTCATGTTTAATATACAAGAATTGATATATATATATATATATATATATACTATGCTTGAATATATAAATTTTATTTAAAATTAATATACATAAACATTTTTAAATACAAAATTATATTTTAGATTTATGATAAATAATTTATTTTATAAAAAAAATATTTTTATATATTGATAATTTATTTTAAAATATTAATATTTAATTTGTAAATAATTTTTAAAAATAAAAAAATAAATTAAATAAGAAATTGAAAAATTTTCTATAAATCTTTTCATTGAAGGAAAAATCTTAAAAACACTCGAGGTTCTTGTTTTATATATAAAATTTAAAATATATATGAAATAACATAAATGAAAATATATATATATGAAATAACAAATTTTTTTAATGAGTTTAATTATTAGAAAAATAAAATGATTGTAAAAATAATAATAAAATAATTCCATTAAATTATGATTAAAATAAAAAAATAAAAGGTAGTTTCAATTATATGTATAAAAAGGTAGTTTTAAGATGGTTATGAACCATTTTGAGAAGAAAAAAAATTAGGAGAAAAGAGTTGGCAAGAGAAAAAAGAATCCAATAATTATTATATTACCATCCGTTTTCAATTGAAAATGACATTTTAATGTTTTCAAAATTTAATTATTTTTGAAAAAGTTTTCATATAAAATATTTTCTAAAATTAAAATTAAATATATTTTCAATCTTATTTCCTCTTTTCTTTGAAAATAGAAAAAAAAAATTAGTGAAACCAAGTAAATATTTAATTAAAGGACACAAATCATTATTCTTTATGTCAATTGGTATTAATTTTTATGAGGTAATTTAATTAACTAAGCTATTTTATAAAATGATTGAATTTTTAATTTTATTTTTCTTCTAAAAAGTTATATGATGAAATTGTCTTTTCTACGTAACTTATTTTATAGCTAATCAAAAAGAATTTAAATTCTAAACCATTTTATTAAGTCACATAAGTCATTTTTATGTGTCAACAGTCTTATTATTATATTCTTTATTTTAAACACACATTTTAATTCTCATTGAAAAATGTGAGATTAATTTTTGGTTAAAATATTTTTTTAGTTTTTATAAGTTATTGTAGTTTAAAATAATTTTTTTTAGTCCCTTTACTTATATTTCAAATCATTTTTAGTTCCTATAATTTAAGATAAATCTTTTAAGTTTTTATATTAACAATTTTAATTTTTTTAGTAACATTATTTTTCTTAATGTATTAATTTAACTTTGTATGTCTTATGTTAATTTATTTTGTTAAAATTACTTTGCGTTAAGTTTTTTGACTTTTTGTGTTTTTTTTATACTCTCATTTAAAGAGTTTATTATTTTTTTTCGTAATAATTTAAAATGATTATTGTTAAGATATTTTTTTACTCTCACAAAATCTATCTATCTATTTATAATATAAAAGTTGAGCTACACTTTAATACATCGACACATCACTTTAAATGAATCTTATACGCTCAGTGAAAAAACTTATGTGTCATTTTGTAATCTTTTCCTTATTCTACTATATCTCTATTCAGTGGAGGAACTTGAAAATTTTTTTTAGGGGTGCCAGATTACTTTTATATATATAAAATTATAAATTAATTTTTTATTAGTTAAAAAGATAATAGAATTTCTCTTTTTTTAACTTAATTTTTTTAGTTTTATTATAATTAATGATATAATAATATATAAATATAATATATATATATATATATATATATATGAATATATATATATATTAAAAAAAAGATTTAGAAAAGTTTGGGGGAGCTGTGGCTCCCCCCTGTCACTACCAAGATCCGCCACAGTCTCTATTTATAGAAACTAAAAGTTACAAAACCTAAAAGTCTCACTCTCCACAATGACATCAATCCGGTCATTGTCGTCACTTCTCTCTACCTCCTCCTCCCTTCTCTCTCTCTCTTTTAATTTGAGTTTCTCACTCTCCACAATGACGTTAGACCCGTCATTGTTGTTGCCTCTCTCCTCCACCGCCTTCACCTCCATTGACATCAATCTCTTTCTCTCGAGCTCGTCTGTCCTAACACTGTCTCTTGTACCAACATCCTTTTCGTTGCCATCTACGACTCCTCACCACATTGAAATCATATTTGTAGCAACCATATCTATATCAAAAGGAAGTAATAGTTGACCTTCATTATGAATGAAATTTCATTAAATGTATGAAATTTCATTTTGTTATCTTAAGAATTTCATTCTTTATCACTAATTTGTATTGCGATCCCATGGAATCAAGGAATAAAGAGATTTCATGTTTGTAGATGATATTGTGATTGATTCCTATTTTTACCTGTTTTAATGACAACACATTTTTTACATTTTCTCTATAATTATTTCTTTCCTTTTCCAATGTCTCTGCATTTGGTGTAGTTTGGTTATTTGTTACATTTTTACATTTATTACAATTTTTCTTAAATTTATACATGATAATTAACTATTTTAAATCAATACCAAAGTTTATATGAAATTATTTAGTAAATCAAAATTTATATATCTCAAACAATTAGTTAATTTTTATTTATCAAATTAAGTATAATATTTATTATTTTTAAACATAATTTTTATTGTGTTAATTTTTTAACAATCAAGTTATTAATCAAATTGAGTCTCTTAATCGTAAATCAATTATAAATATATAACTGTTAATTAAAATTTTAAATAGTAATTACTCAATATATATTATAAAATAATTATTTCATTTTATTATGACATAATTATATAAATTAACTTTTATTAATTAAATAGTTATTACAAATAATTTTATTTTCATATGTTTTAAAGTATGATACGTACACATTTAATTAGATTAACATATCTATTTGAGTATGGTTTTTCTTTTATACAATGCTATAGAAATTAGCGCTAAAATACAATCAAATAAAAATATTATATAAAAAAATTTAATACTAATAAAAATTATTCTTTATATATATATATATATATATATTTTGCATAATTTTTTGATAACAGAGAATCAAATCAATTTATATGATTTGATTTATAATTTAAGTATTTTTATGCGTAATTTATTATATTTATTGTTTTATATTAATTTTATTTATTTATTATAATTTATGTATAATCATTTAAATTAACATTGAATTAACATTGAATTAGTTATGTTTTTCTACATTTAAAATATAATCATTTATGTATAATATTTTTTACATTTGTGTAAATCAAGTCTTTTAATTACAAATTAATTATTAAAATAAAGTTGTATAAAATCAAAATATCTCCAAATTTTCTTTTAATTTGAATCTCAAATTATCGATTCATATTAATAGCAAAATCAATATGAAAGTAAATCAAGTTTTATATATCTCAAATAATTGATTAATTTTTATTTAGTAAATTAAGTATAATATTTATTATTAATCGATCTATTAATCAAATAGGGCCTCTTAATTACAAATCAATTATAAATATGTAATAGTTAATTGTTAAAAACTATAAAAACATTTTTATTAATTCTTAAAATTTTAAATAGTATTTACTTAATATATATTTTAATACAATTGTTTCATTTTTATTATGATATAATTGTCTAAATTAATTTTATTAATTAAATAACTACTAAAAACTTTATTTTTTTTTCATCTGCTTCAACGTATGATACCTACACATATAATTAGATTAATATATGTTATAAAGTATGATTTTTTCATACAATATTATAAAAAATAGCTTGGTTATAAAGAAACATAATTTAAAAGATAGAATTACAATACAATCAAATTAGTATATTATATAAAAAAAATATTTTTATTTTTTAATTTTATTTTATATCAATTTGTATTATGCATGTTTTTTATAACAAAATCAAATCAATTTATATGATTCGATTTGTGATTTAAGCATTTTATGCATAATTTATTATATTACGTTAATTAA